GTTAATGGTATAATATCATTAGTGCTCACACTTAGATTGTGGTTCATATTTAGTTGACTCTATATATATGATAAGTTGATTTCAATTCTTTTACGTATTAAAATATTTTTGTGATACAATCAACTTCATCATGTAAAGTGAGAGTTTGTTAATAATCAAGATTTATAACACTCATTACTATCTTAATGTAGGATGAGATGATTCTATTTATATAACGAATTTTTTAAACAGACAAATACGTAAAAATGATGTATTTAAGTAATTTCTATTACTTTTCAATCATTCAGTGAATGATTGTAGGATTGTAGTCACGTTTATATTTCATAAGTTAAATTTTAACCAAACATGTTAATTAAGAATTGTTTCCATTTCTAGGAAGAGGATGATGAAAATGTCAAATTTGAATCACTTCATGAAAGGCGTACACAATTAGCTGCATTTTTTAAACTAGTAATATATAATTTAATACCGATAAGAGCAGCTGCTCCAATTTATAAATATTATATTCGATCTTTCAATGATTTTGGCGATATTATGAAATCAACATTAGCTAAAGCACGTGAAATTAATCGAGTGCATACTGCTCGTATGATTGCCCATTGTTTAGAGTTGTGTTATTTACAAGTAGAAGCAGCTTCTAATGTAAGTGCTTATTACTTATTGTCGATCGAATTGTTCATACTTTTACTCTTTTTTTTTATTTATTTTACTTCTACAAATCAGATAACTTGAATTTTTTTTAGTAATCTACTTCAGTATGCTTGCTAGTAGTTAGTAGGATGCGTCGTTATTTTAACTTTTCCAGTCAGTTGTCCATTTATTTTTGTCACTATCATCTCCACCTTGGTCAGTCAGTATTATAGTGAGTGTCATAATCTAACAAAAGAAGACACAATATTTTCCATTTGTCAAATTACATGTTTTGTACTTTTCAAGTAACAAAAATAAAACTGGCTTACTTACGATCGATCACATTCGCTTGTCTGTTTGGTGTATTTCATATAAGGATCTTTTTTTCTGTGGTCATTATGCAAATTGTTTCTAGTTAGTTTGTGACAAGCTTAAATTTGTTAGTCTTCAAACTTGACGGGACTCTATGATATACCAAAACTCGTCCTTAAATAGAAACTATTGGTTAACCTATTTTCGTATCTGGCTGCATCATAACTCTGAACTTCTGATCTGAGCGTAGTTATACTCTAAGATTGACGTTGTGATAATACATGAGCATAAAACAACACAGAAACCTTTTCGTTGTATTTCAGCAAATTTTAAGCATACTGTTTTAATAATCTTAATTTGATTCACATTAACTAACGAAGGAAAAGGTAAGTAAATAAGAATATGTGCTAGGACTATGATGTCCAAAATAAACTTGAAGATATTCAATCTAATTTTTTGGCGGATAAGAATTAAAGGTTAATACTACTGTGTTGAAGAAAGAAGGAAAATAAAGAGTAGTTCTTTGGTGCTGCAGTCGGTTTATGTTTCGTTGTTTAGAACCTTCAAGTACAAATTATAAACTAAACTAAAGATCTACACTTCCTTGAAAAACTCGAATCACTGAATTCTATCTTTTGTTGTCTTGTTAGTAGTAGTCTTTTTCCAATTTATTCCGATCATATCCAAAACTATAGGACCAAAAAGGCAATAGCTGAACGTTCATCACACATCTGTGCCGTTTCAACCGATAAAGGTTCACCATTTATACCCAGCACCTTAAAGTTTAATTTAAAGTAAGTATGACACATTCGATTGTTTCACCGTACGTTGATTGTTTTACGTTGAAATTTTTGTAAAATTGCGAAGAGAAATTTGTAGGTTACATATTCCTATTTACATTAGATTTTATAATGAATTGATGGGTAGTTTGTTTTTTTTTCGTTTGTAGAATTGTGTTGAACGTGGTTCTGAAGGTCTTCAAGCTGTAAAAGAACTTGCCAGGCGTTTAAATCTCAGTTTTGGTCTCGATCTAATTAAAATACGCGAATCTATGGTTGCTTTCCACTCGGAAGGAATACAGTTTTGTGTTTCCCGAGCTGCTTCTACAGCAGCTGCTACAGGTCAACCCCCTGGTATTCCAAGCAATTTGCTCTTCCTTGAAGTTGTCGCTGAGTTCTCAAACAAGCTTCTCAGGCAAGACAAGAAAAGTATATATGAATATCTCCGTCGAGTAAGTTCCAAGAGTTGATTTGTAACTCAATCATGCCAAGTATTTCTCTCATTGTAAAAACTATAACTATGTGTATACAACTACATTTAATCATAGCTCAATACCAGAATATCTAACATTTGCATTCAAATCACTAATAATGGTATAGTTGACTACAAGTGAGCTTAATGATCAGTTCTTAATTTCATTTGATGGTAATAAACCTATAAAACCTGAATCTTACGGTTTGTAGCCGAAGTTGAATTAATTAGTTCTGTGGCAATCAAAAACTCCTTACTGTCATATTCTGTCGCTAAATTTAATGCAATATGTTTAGGTATCTAAAACACCATACCAGCGATTTTCTTCACTCAATCAGTCAAAACAAGACAACTAATACAATTACGCATTGTACAGTCAGGATTTGATTGTAACCAATTTGGTCTCGTGCTGTTACGGGTATGAGGGCGGTTGTCACTTCCCGGTTGCCCACACCGTGGAAGGTTGTTTCTTGAGGGACCTGAAAAGGAAGATAGATTAGTGTTGGTCTTGGAGACCTGGGTGCGTGACCGCAGAGTCCAAGGGACAACTACTTGAGGCCGGTCACGCACGGCCTTTTTATGAGGTTTTTTGAGTATTAGCTCCGCTCTTAATAGCGCTCAGTGGGCACCCTTACCGCCGAAGACGGAAATCCGTTAGGTAGGGTGAGGTGTGACTGTTTTAGGGTCGACCTTTTCTAACCCTTCCTTCCTTGTGAGCAGGTAGCATCGCTGCAGATGCTGGTTGTCCGAGGGAAACACCTTACTGCTGTTACACCCCTCTGCAGTCAGCAGTACGACTTGTCCCTCAGACCTTGAGTAGCTGCTTTTAGTCTCATCGTTCTCCAATCGACCTGCCTGGCATGGTAGAACCTTCAGGAACATATATTCCAGCCAGTATATCTTGGTTGGCTCATGACGTTAGGCAAGCGCGACCACCACGTCAAGGTGGCAGCTACGGTCGGGTATAGTTGCTGTTTCTTTCGTAGCTCTACATATTATAATTATCTTATTTTTTTTGCATACGTGATAGAAAGTTGACGTATAATGTTAATGTTTAATCCAGTTACTTAGGCGCTTCTTTTATTACAGTAAATTGAATTTTTGACTTATTATTCATCCTTTTTAAATTTCCATCTTTGGCTATTAGATTTTCCCAAATCCTGTTGGTAATGAATGGGCTAGTCTACATGCCTATCGATCAAGCCTTGATCCTGACAACACTGATAATGCCCCAGGACATGATGGAGTTAGTCATGCTACAAATCCTCAGGCTGTGAGCAATTCTAATCCCGCTGTAGTACAAGGTAATGTGGCCGCATCAACAAGTGGACGTGTAGGATATGGAAGTAGAGGTCGAGGCAAAAGACTACGAGATTCTGATTCCTCCCTTCGTAAGTAACCAATTATTGTGTAGTTGTTACTATATATGTATTATAGTTTAGTTTTAATCAGTTAAGAAACCTGCAAACCTATAAATGCTTACTACAGAAAAACCACTGAACTATCCGCTAAAAGCTTTACAAGTATTTTTTTTCTAGATAAGCTTTGTTAAAAAACAGGTTTTCAAACATTTTTCAGTTGCTCTGGCATATAAGTTTTATTTTTTTTTGTGTGATTGCTAAGTTATTGAAAATAATAAAAAGCTGAAATTATGAATGTTTTTCCAATTACTGTCAATTCTTCATTATTGGTTTGACAATCAAATTTTAACACTGATCAAATAATGAGGAATAATTTTGGTTTAACGATTATACAATCTTTGAAAAATGTAAACAAGTGAACTTGACTCTATGATATATAATATTCATATGAGATTCAGAGAAAGTCATGACAAGTAATCAAGTCAATTGATTGTGATTGCATAGAGTTGAATTGTTGTAACAAATGTAATAATAAGTTATTCACTCTTAAGAATTGAAGAGTTCATAAATAGTTTCATGAACACTAGTCATGTAAGTTATAGACCTAAATTATTGGAAAATGTAAACTGCAAAAGTTGAACTTATAGTTCAACATCAGGGCAATGTTAAGGGTCATTTGATTGAATAAATAAACTTGACAAACATATTTATTGGAAACGCATCATCCTAGTTTTTCCTATTCGTTTTCTGATGTTTACAAAAAAGATGAAATCTTTGATCATGGCAATTCTAATGTTATTCATATTTCTTTAACTACTTCACTTCATTTGAACGAACTGATCCTACAAATTATTTGAGTGCAATAAGTATTTTAAGATAAGCTCCAAAATAAATATTTGAACTTCCACTTCACTTGCTCCTATGTTGATCTCCGGTTCTTAGTTACTATCTGTTACACAACATAAAAACAACTGAAAGGGAAATATACACACCTTTGTTTGATATCTGAGTTACATTAATTATTAACAAGTGTACAGAACTAGAAGTACATATTTATAGGAAGGTTACACAGTGGTTTTTAAGGACTTGTTTGACTCGTTTGTCTAGCTAACAGAGTTAATTCGTTATCTACCGATCTGAATAATGAGCTTTCGTAGGTTAGATGAAATCCAGTGTATAATTCTAAAAGCTGTCGTTGCATGACCATACCGTGTCTAGTTGTTGATCAACTTGTGAAACTGGTTCTTCTGATTCTGAAATTTATGCTGCCCCTATGCATTAGTGAACTTTCTATCGATTAGCTAGAACACAAAAATAATAACTCTGTGGTATTGGGTATTCTCACTTTTAAACTACTACTACTACAGTTGGATGCTGTCTTTTTTTCGAAAATTCAAACGATATGCATTGTTGTTAAATAGACTGTACACAGCTTTGAGTAGGAAACAAGAAACTGTTACCAAATTTTTGCTGAGTTAATTGATAACCAAATGTAAATTTACACTTTTGGACAAATTTTCAATGTGTACTGCACTTTTTTTTAATTACCTATTTACACTACGCTAATATTTTGTTCTATTCGTCATTTTACAATATATATAGCCGATGCAAACTTAAATCCACAGTCTACAAGTACAGCTATCAAAAAGAAGCGTACTAATGTCTCAAGCAATAACAAAAATACATCTGGAAATATTTCTAGTATGACTACAGTAGACGCCTCCCGACCTGCATCACCTGCAGAAATACCCCCCAATAATGCGGGATGTGCACCTCAGTAAGTTGACTGATGAATTATTACCCCATATCAATATCAATATCTCTTTGAACTTGTCACGTAATCATTTCTGTTTTGCTCGATTATCTTCAGCAACCTTTTTCTAATAAATCAATCACTTAAATATTTTTTTTGTTCATATCTTTACAGCCACAACCCTTCAACATCGATGTCAACGTTAGCTACTCCCGTACATTCTTCGTCTAACCAATGAACCCCATCCACATCCTTACTATAATAAATAATCACTTATTTGAGAGATGAAATTTTTATGACTCACGCGTCCTTACAGTTTCTGTGTGTGTTTTTCCCGCTTCTAGAAATGTTTCATTCAGCAAACATCTTCAGATGTTTATATTTGTAAATATATATAGACAACTGATGCGCTTAATGTGTAATTATTATCTTCACACAGATTATTCTTATTAATCCCAATTGGGGGCTGTATTATTATTATTAATTATCCACTAATAAAATTCCCTTCGCCAAAATATTGTACATTTTGTTTAGGCTACTACTCTACACCCGACGACTTGATTATATCACCTGTTGTTTACAAAACACTTAGTTCTTTTCTATTTGTCTCCTTCTACACACACATATATATATATATATTGAATCAAAACGTTCTTTTTTTTGTATTAAACGCTTTTTTTTAAAAAAAAAAAGAGCGTTTATTTCTACTCCTCTGTATCTGTTTCTCTCTCCTGTAAGTTGTTGTATTTTCAAAATTGTTCTCTTTTTTTTGTAATACACACCAGTCGTAATTTAATATTATTAATTAATTAGGCTGGGAGAATTTATTATTTAGCCACAACAACAACAGCAGCAGCTCATTTGAAAAAAAACACTGTTGTTTCAATTGTGCAGAGTAGAGAACTATTTTTTACACACATAAAAAAAACTTGCTGTAAATTCCCTTTTTTGTAAAATTTGAATCATCCCCCCCCTTTATAATTAATTATATAAATATAGATTGCTGCACTATATATAATTCGTTTATGAACTAACTAACTAATTGACTATTCCGTATTTCGTAATCGACCTTCTTTTCTTTTAATTGTTATCGCTAACACCATTTTTTTTCCCACTGAAATTTCCGCAACGTGTTTTTTTTTTCGTGTAAAAAAAATACAGTAATAATAATAACTAATTACTTGATTTGAATTTGAACAGAGAAAAAAAAGGCAAAACATCCATCTTTTTTTTTCGTTTTCTGTACACATCATCATCATGACGCGTTTAACATTATTGACTTTTCAATGAGTAAAGAAAACAATTTATCACATTACACTTAATTTTTATTTGTGTTCCAATCAGATTTCCCCAATAATCAATCCTCCACTTGTATAAATATTCATTTTTGTTCATATAATTACTACTATTATTATTATTATTATTATTACTACCAACACAACAATTATTCCTTTTTTTTTCCAGATTTAGGTAGCTTCAAATCTTGTCCAAATTTTTTTGTTTAAAACACTGGATCGTCCATATATATATATATATATATATATATATATATATAGTAACAAAAAATATCTTCCTGTACAAAACTTCTTATCTACTACAAGACGTTCATTATTATTATTATTATTACTATTATTATTATTAATTTATTTAATTGTTTGTTTGTTTTTTTTATATCATTAAGTGCCTCGAAATTTATTCTATATCTATCTCTCTTACACTGTTTCAGAATTCATTTTATCTAAATATCCCCTCCCAGCCACAGTTTAGCGTGTTGAGAGATTAAAAAAGAAAGCTGTCTCTTAGTTTATTTTCTCATGTTCCAGCGAAATAGTTTATTTCTTTTGTAGTAACGAATGCATCTATTGCGTATATTAATTTTTGCAGACTACCTGGTTGGGATCCATGAGATGACAGGGCACCAATGGTTAGAGACCTTAAATGATATGGCGCAGGTGCATCCACTCGTTGTGTTGTATGAAATTCTTATCTCCTGAATTCCTCATCACCTCTATCTTTCTTTTTCTGAATTTATTTCACTGAATGATACTGCTTGAATAACATCTTGAAACCCTAGTCTCTCCTCTATTACCACTATCACTCCTACTATCTATACCACTATGGGATTTGAATTGACAGTTGCGTCTCTGTGCTAATGTGGTATGGTTCTACGTTATAACTGGCTGTCTGATTTCTTTTGACATTCAACCTGGTACGTGCGTACATCAGTTCAAGGTGCTATGCCACGTTAGCACATTGAGATGTAACTGTTCTTTAAAATTGTAGCAGTACTGAGAAAGATTATTAATGGCAGATATTTTACTTGATCCGGAATCTGACTCTGATTTGGACAAATGATTGAATATTATATGAAATGAATGTTTCCTTTAACTTTCCGCGCATCATTCTTTGGTGAATCCCGTTTATGCGACGGTGGTAATTTCACGCCCAGCACTGTTTAATCTGGATTAATTTACTTCAGATATTTGTGTAACCAAACATGCAATAAGGAGAATTATAGTAGGGCAAACTTGATGTGATTGGTCATGACTAATTAACTGTAGTCAGAAAAAATAAGCTAAACATGTGATAAGTGAAGCAAGCAATTCACACACGTACTCAAATAAAATGGGCGAAGATTTTAAGCGGATAATTGACATGCACAGAGGAAGCGTGAATAGCAACTTGGGGAGAAAGCGCTAATTAGTTTGTCAAAAACTTGGACATAGAACCTCGTACGTAAGTGCGTCAGAGTTGCCGTTACCATTAGCACAGATGTAATTTCCAATTCAAATCCCATAGTGGTAGATGTAGTAGAAGTGTTAGCGGTAATGGAGAAGAATAGTGTTCGGACGAAAAACTCAGTGAAATAAATTAAGCAAAAGGAAGATTGAGTTGATGAGGAATTAAAAAGGTTAGGTTTTGAGAGAAAACAATACATACATTTGCATCATTCAAATTTCCTAACCATCTGTCGCTATTGTCTTGCGGGAAACAACCAGATACTCGACACATTAACATGGCTCAGTCCGACTTTCAGTGACTTCATGGGTTTGAGCTATGTTTTGCTTTAGTCGCCCCTAGCTTTCAGTTTATCCCCACATTACACAACGTCGGGTCACTCGGTTGTTTGACATACGTAACACATGTCCCAACCGCCTCAATTTATCGGTCTGCCATCCTCACCTAGTACCCGTTTCATATAAACCTCAACATTGCGTAATCGCTGGTCCCAGGATTTGCGGGCAATGTTTCAAAGACATCAATGACCGAATACTGTTAGCCTACAAGTATCCGCTACTCTCATTAACCGTTTCATATCAGGAAAGCGGAACGGTGCGAACTGCTTTGCAGTAAACTCTTCCCTCAATTGGTACTTATGTCTCATTTACACGATAATTTTTCGAGAGCCTTCTGTATTTGCCGAGATTTCGACTCAAGATAAATTAATCGGTCGACATGTTTGCTTAGTGACTGGACGACTGCATTTTGTCAGCGTCTTCACCAAGTAGAACTATGTCATCGGCATATTCTAAATCAATAAGTCAGTCTTCCAGTAAAGATTTAACTCATGAAAAATCAGACGATGAAAGAGTCGTCTCTAAAAGTACGACGACAAAGTTGAACAACAATCGAGAGTGGACATCTCTGACTAATCACTTGAAGTAATCCACTCCGAAGGCAGTTCACCATAGTCTGTACAAGGTTAGCGAAATTTCCTGGCGCACATTTCAATGGCAGACACTGCCACAAAACCTCACAATTGGCAGAGTCACATACCGCCTTAAGGTCCATGAAGACAACTACTGTCGGACATGGCCAATGAGAGTAGAAGATATTCGTAGGTTACATGTTTTCGATCATAGGTGTCTTCGAAGCATTGCTCGTATATCGTGGGACACCCGAGTGAGCAACGCTGTTATTAGGAAACGGGTGCTAGGTAAGAATGGCAGATCAATAGATGAAGTAGTGAAACTTCATCAGTTGAGGTCGTTGGGACATGTCTTGCGTATGCCGAACCACCGACTGCCTCGACGAACTTTGTTTTGTAGTGTAGGAGTAGGTTGGAAGAAAGCCAGGGGCGGCCAGACCAAAACATGGCACAAATCCATGAAGTCATTGACGAGTGGACTGAGCCATGTCGGTAATTGTCGACTACCTGGTTGGGGTCCGCGAGACGTTAGTCACCAATGGTTAGAGACCTTGAACGACATGGCTAAAAATCGTTTGCAATGGCGCCGGTGCATTTATTCTTTGTGTTATCTCAAATCCTAACCTTCTGGGTTCTCCAACAACTCTAGTTTTGACTTTCTAGACTTTTCTCACTGAATCACACTTCTTGAATAATATCTTCTAATCTTAACCTCTCCGATCACTACTAATACCCTTACTACCTCTTCTACTATTGGATTTTAATTGACAATTACATATCTGTGCTGATGTGGTATGGCGACATGAATTGATGTACTTACGCACGAAGTTCTACGTTGCATCTGACTGACTGTCAACCGCAACCAGAGTAGGAGGACTACGTCGTCCCACTAACGGTTTATTTTCGCTAGTTCTAGTATTGCTAGTCATTGGGGTTAGTGTCAACGACTAACGGATACCACGCGAATCAAGCACACTAGATAGTAAGTTGATGAAAAATAAATGAAGAGCATGTCTGTTTATGTGGTAATAAGTTTGTGAATGATACACATGTATACATAACAGGTCAAACCAAAGTATGACAAGTTTCTTTCTTAGTGCTAATAATTGAGAACGCTTGCTATATAGGCTTACATCAGTTTGATATTTAGGTTATTTGGAGATGCTGAGGAGTTGCTGAAGGGTAGTTGTACTGTTCCTTGAAGTGCTCTGCTTATCGGTTCAATTGCCTGGCTTGATGGTAAATGGTAGTACCATCTTTTCCGGAGATAGTCTCGCTTATAGTAGGATTCCTAATGCAGTTTCCTTCATTAGTCTGAACAGTTTTCTACTTTCACTTATCGTCCGTGCCTGTTCCATTTCCTTTGCTTTACCTACCCACCAATGTTCGCATTCGTTGTTTTTGAGTATGCCTCAGCTCGTCATGTTTGCAGCTATATGGGATGAGTTTCCCAGCATCTATCAGTCTAGATGCTACTGAGATCCACTGTTTCTCCTTAGCCTTATGGTTTACCTTGGCTGATAGATATTAGTTGTTTCCAGAGCATTTCGGATATCGCCACAAGCTGTCTCGGGATGGGCATCATCTAACACATGACTTCATAACTGTTTTTCTAGGGTTGGTGTTGGTTTTAGCGACCGGGGAGCTTGACCGCAAGGCTCAAGAGACAGCTTCTTGAGGCCGGTCATGCACGGCCTTTTCATAAGGCATTAGCTCCGCTCTTCAAAAGGCTTTACCGTCAGAAATGTATCAGTTTATTATCTTAAAGCAGTATATTTAATGTCTCATCCTTAGTTAGAACAGTCAATATAAATTGACAGTAGTTTCATCATGATGAAAGCGTTTAAGTGCGTGCAGACGGTTAACAAGGACAGTTAGTTGACCTAAAACAAAAACAATAAAGTGCACGTTTAGGAAGCACGACAGTCGAAAAGTTTTTAAATGTCCCACTAAATAAATGAGACTATACAACATAACATTTGTGTGTTATCTAGGTCAGTGCCATTCAGTAAAATAATGCGCTTCATTCATATCACTTACAGTACAGAAGTAACGTAGGTGATTCACTCACTCATAATATATATTTATTAGTTGATACATGAATGATTATCTTGTCTCCAGTTTTAAGTACACAATTCATTAGTGCAGCTTCACCAACATTCACACGTCAACTGAACAACGAATTATGACATTGTTCAAAAATGAGACCACCTTCAAACAGAATGCCGGATTCTAATTTAAAACCAATACTAAATTGCAATCAAAAACATCTACTGATGTACAGAAGGAAGTGTTATAGTGTCTGCAACAGTGTTCACTTGTTTAAACATCGGAATTGAATAGTGTATATATTTACAATTCCACCAAAATAATATAACACAAGATAAAACTTAAATTACATTGAAATAATTATAATATAAAGTAAGTTTGAAAGTAAATATACAAATATTATTTCTATTTGTGTGCTATACAACGAACAACAACGATGTAATACCAAAACGGTGTGAAAAGATAACTTATACCTAAGTAGTAGCACAATTCGTTGGTAGATCTTTTTTACTTTGACTAGCAGTAGGATGATTCTGTTTGTTGTGAATAGATTTTGACAATTCTATGGGGTTTTCTTGTTTCATTGGATTTGTACTGTATTTGGATTTGTTATTAGTATTTAATTTATCTGGATCTATATTTTCTACATCAAGTTTAGAGAGTTTTTCTGCATGAAAGAGTAATGAAATATAATAATTATTTAACACATCTTATATTAGATTTATACTTCATATATATAAATATATATGATGATGATTTGTTGAAAAAAATTACTACTGAAATCTATTTATTAAAGCTTTCAGGGAATTTATAAAAGAGTTTATACAAATATTCTTAACAAAATGAGAAACAATTAAGAAACCATAGAACTGGACTGATTTTAGAGGATGTTTTGAATAATGGAAACTTTTGGGGACGTTGGACGCTCAGAACTCACTTTTATAAAAGTCCTGATTTTGAGCTGATCAGCTGACCTTGAGATTACATTTCCCACCCGGAAAATCCTTGACTGTTATTGGTTGATGTGTTATTTTAGTACGAAGCTATTTTTGTGGCTCTCCCAAGGACGTTTCTATCATGTATAAATAAACTTGATTTGTGTGCTTGTCAACCTCACATATTCTGGGCGATTGTAGAATACACTTTCTATGCCTCATCAAGACTTCTTACTATAGTTAGCAGGGTCGGGGACAATCGAATCAGAATAGCCTATCGTGTCACTATATCATTTGTCTTCACTCTTGTTTACCGAGTAAGTTGAACTCGTAATAGTTTCAAGCATATCAGTTCACAAAAATGTAAGAAACTGAGATTGGTTAAGTTTATAAGCATCAATAATATTTATTGGACAGATTGCATACTCATATTTCATCCTATGCATCTTATTAGAAGTTTCAACATTCACAGAAGAGCTACAATAAACACGATACATCCAAAAGGTGGTGGTACTCAATAAATGTCAGAGTCCATAGTTTGTAACAGTAGACTCATTGTTGATCATAAATGAAAAACCGGCTGTTTATTAACTCTAAATGGAGTGCCCTTTAACGATTACTCCCGGAGTGGGGGTTAGCTACCTCATCCAGTTGAAAACGAACTTGATATGAAAAAACACTAACCAGAACAAATAATTTAAACCATTTGAACTATGCCTTGGGAGTTGGAAAGTCTTCATTTAGAACAGTTATGACGCCTCATGATGAAAGCCGAATTCCTTTAGATGTCACGAGACTGATATCATTAATATAAGTGCCTGGAATGTCTATACAATATGTTAGACTGGAAGAACCATTCAGTTTACTGCGAAAATGAAAAGATACAACATGACTCTGCTTGGATAAGTGGAACACATTAGGCGCAAGTTCGAAAAAAAACGCTTCACGAGAGCTGCTGTTGTACTCCAACCAACGATGAAGAAAATTCTCCACATACACAAGGAGTTGAACTGATGCTATCCAAACAAGCACAAAAAGCACCGAAACGATGGGAATCGCATGAACCCCCAGGATTACCACAGCATCCTTCAAAACAAAGAAAGAGGGTATTACAATGAATGTCCTTCAATGCTATGCGCCCCATCAACGATAACAATGAAGATATTGAAAGATCAAGTCTATGAGAAACTACAATCGAGTAATCGCCAAGCAAACGATCTGACCATTCTAACGGGAGACCTAAACGTTAAGATTGGAATGGACAACACATGAAATGAAGAAATCATGAAACGATATGGACTGGGAAAATGAACAAAAACGGTGAGAGATTAGCAAATTTATGAGTGTTTAATGATATGGCACCATACTCCAACACGAACACAAAGCGACATGTTTCACACACAGTGAAATCTATCACATCGGCATCAATAAAATGTTCAGAAGGACAAAAAAACAAGAGAGGAGCCGACATGGCTTCAGATCAACACCATTTGGTAGTGGTCAAAATGAAAGTGAAACTCAAGAAGCACTGGTCGAACAGTATCACAACAGTTTAATATGGCCTTACTTAGGGATACTACTGGCAAACTGGACGAACTTAAGGTAACCCTCAGCAATAGATTTAAGGCCTTTCACAATCAACTAGATCAAGAAGAAACTACCATGGATAACAACTGGAAAGGGATCAAGAAAGTAATAACTTTTACGTGCCATGAGGTTCTGGGTCACAAGAGCCATAATCAAAAGGAATGGATGTCTGTTGATACTCAGGATAAGATTCGAGAAAGGAAGAACAAGAAGAAGAAGGCAGAAATCAATATCAGTCGAACATGAGCAGAGAAAGCCAAGACTCAAGCTGAATACAGAGAAGCAAAAAAGCATCAGAGCTGACAAACGTAAATATGTGAAAGATCTGGCAATGATAGCAGAAAAAACTTGAAAGAAAAGGTAATATGAGACAACTTGACGATACAACAAAGCTTGCTGCAAAATATGATAAACCAGAACGACTAACTAAAGCCAACTCATCAATGAAATCGAAAGAGAGAGAAACACGTGAGTAGAGTATTTTGAAGAACTCGTAAACAGACCAGCAGTACATACAAACGTACCAATCAAAGTTAACTCACAAACATTAAAGAACTCTTAGATCGAGCAGCAATACTGAACGCAACCAACATCAAAGAAGCACCTACAGACCAGTTGAGTTCAACCCTGCCGGGTGTGAGTGAAGCACTACTTACCGAAGACAATGGATGAGGATGTGCAAGACTATGGATTGACCGAGAGGTTAAACATTAAAATCGTTGGATCCTGACTCAGTAGCCTAGAAGTTAGGCGTTCACGCGCAAGACCGAAATTAATAAACTGTTTTAACAACAAAAAGTTTAAAGCATATAATACACAAACAATCCAATACTTATTACAGCAAGTTGAATATTTTATAAAAGTTGAGACTAGTTCTTTTAAATTGTTATTTGTATTTGCGTCATATAATTGTTAAGTAGCTGGATAACTGTGTTTATATACATCCTGTTTATTATAAGCTTTTGTTTAAACCATTAACTATTATCATTACGCTGTTTATGATTCTAATTTTATTACCAATCAACTTTGCATAGTTTGTCCTATTTACAATTACTTATGGATCGTTTATGCATAAACGGTGTTTGTTCCTTTTTTTTAGTGAGATGCAGTGCAGTAATTTTGTAAGTAAACCGTTGCGACCAAACCAAAACATGGCAGAAATCCATGAAGTCACTGAAAAGTGGACTGAGTCATGTTGGTAGATGCAGGCTAACTGATTGGAGTCCACGAGATGATAGTAACCGGTGGTTAGAGACCTTGAATGATATGGCTCAAAATCGTTTGCAATGGCGCAGGTGCATCCACTTGTTGTGTTGTCTCAAATTCTAACCTTCTTAATTCCTAATCATCACTATCTTTCTCTTTCTAACTTTATCTCACTGAATTATACCCTAATATTTTCCATTACTGCTAATACATCTACTATCGCTATCACTATGAGATTTAAACTGACAGTTGCATCTCTGTGCTAATACGTTATGACAACCTGAACTGATGTACATACGTATGAAGTTCTACGTTGTAACTGACTAACTGAAGTAAACCGTAATGTGTTTGAAAAATTATGATAATAACAGATGCTGGCGGCTGACTTCTTTTCGAACTCCATGCGATAGATAAAGGCAGATTCAATGCAAATCGTACAGGCCAGAAGTTGTAGTAATTGGCCAAGTTCGAGACACTAAACTATAGAAGCAATAACAGACATAGAATAGATAAAATTACTATTTGGGGCAGAACCACGACGGCCATCATCCGGAAGATACAAGTATTTATTAACAGTTGTCTACGCAACAAGATACTGAGGACCTACCTGTTGGTCAGACACTATCAGCAACAACCTACTGTGGGAGAGAACAAATCAGATTCCAGTGGAGGAAGAAATCAGGAAGAAGCTAACTGTATCACAAGACAAGCCTTCACTTGGAATCCTTAAGGTCAAAGTAAAAGAGGAAGGCCAATGAACACACACACATTACACCGAGAAATGCAGACAAACATGAGAAGAATGTACAACA